AAATGAATCACCAGGAATTATTTATTCCCTTCAAAATTATACAAATATAACAAATTTATTTTATATCAAAACAACTTACCAAGTCATGATTCATACTATCTTATTTCGATGCTTGTTACGGCGTTGGAGTCAGGATACAGCTCGCCAGACCGCTATTTTACCCATTTTTTTAAATTTGAAGTCGTAGGCTTCCTCGGCCTGAGTCATGTGCATGATCGTGGCTGTCCGGGTGACGCCGCGTCGAAGATTGTTGCCGACGTTTCGACCATCTTGTCATGGTCTTACGATGTCCATACCATCAGATGTATGGGTATACCAGCCCTGAGGAAGACCATGACAAAATGGTCGAAACAGCCTTCGACGCGACGTCACCCGAACAGCCAAGATAATGCATTTGTTTAAAAATTTGTCGGAAAGCACGAAAACATTTTTAAAATTAGCTTCGACTATTTTACTTGGGAAAAGAGATTCACCAGATGAACTCTTTAAACCAGATAAACGTCGTTTTGAGGTCAAAAATCGAGTTGTAATATAAAAGAACTCGTGCGTACACTCCGCTCATGTTTTACGGTACTTGACAACGGAAGATCTTAGACCAAGGTGGAGTGATAACAGAAGACCTTAGAAGTAAAATATATGTAAAATAAGAGATGGAATAATTTGGATATTTACACAATTAGTTCCTTTCCTTTAATTGTTAAAAATTGGAATCAATATTTTGAGTAATGCATCAAAAAATTTTGAAATGGTATTCGAAGGAAGACGGAAATATGCGAAAAAGGTAGTTATGTACTACTATTACAGACCGTTTACCTCGGTCTGTAATAGTATAAAATCTCTAGTTTGCTATCCGTGGAAAAATAGATTGAGATGAAAAAGGACGAACGCATAAACCGAGTGTGTGGCTTGCGTGTCCCACAAGTACCGCCTCCTCAGTCCGTCCGTCCGTCGGGGCTGGCCGCACGACGCCGGGCCTGGCCGTGCCACCGCGCTGACAGAGGGCCCACAACGGGCGGATGGGTGACGCAACGGCGCAGAAAGAGAAGTGGGGGCGGGGAGAGGTGTTTCCGTAAATTTCACTTTATGACGCTCCTATTCGTCCGATTTGCATTATTGTCACGGCGTTGGATTCAGGAAGCATGTCGCTATCGCGCTGTAAGGTCACATTTTTAAATTTGTTCTCGAAAGTTTGAGAACTAATTTCATATTCGCGTTTTTGCTAGATTTTTGGAAAAAGGTCATCGTAGCGTAAATTTTATTTTAAAAAGGCGTCAATTGCCGTTTACAAACCAGACCATTGATTCAGATGTTATCAGTAAAGTAAATTCCCTGTAATAGTGCTGCGATCTATTGAATTTTCCTACAAGTATTTTTCGGTGCATTTAGCCTTAAGTGAGAAGGAAGTGATGTGGAGTTACGACAGAGTCACTCGTCTGTTTCTCGCCAAACATGCCTTACAAGTTTACCAAGCAATGACTTCTACATCTCATTACTAATTGCAGACTAGAGAAAGGGTAGTATTTTCCCGTATCTACGAATTTATCTTGTATACGTATAAATAAGTGTATACAAACCTGATACGTGCGAAAACTCTGCACATTGTAAATAATAATTGTATGAAAACAAAATTGATTTAAAGCACCGATCACCCATTCCCTGAACAGTGTTACAGCATTATAAGCCCGTTACTGTTGGGGAGAAATCATTCCAATACTTTGTTGAGATTAAAATGTATAGAAAGTAAAATAATCGTTTAATTTCATGGTACAATATCATTTCCGTATTTTCCCATCAATTTAATTTCTCATTGATTTTAGCTTCCGCACTTTTTTGATCACTCATGCGAATGGGAGGGGAACCGATAACTAAAACAACATTGTAAAAATGTCGACAAAGGTCTTGTTTTATAGATTACTTCCTAGAACCTAATCCGGGTCCAACTTTTCACCCTTTATTTCCCCCCATTGATCCCATCTATTCTTAGATTGATATTTTTTCCTGGCACCTCCCCCTCCCACAAACACTAGGCACCGGTCATGTGTCAGACTATCCTCAAAAAGTCGTCCATACTGGATAAGCAAACCCGGATTAAAGGGTCTTCGACGCATCGCTACGGAGTTACGTGAGATTTTAATGCGAGTTGCAATATCACTTTTCTGTGCCAATCAATTTTTCTTCTGACGTTAGATGCAGAACTTGAATGGTAATTCTCTATCCACGAGTAGTACACTTAGAAGGTTTTGTGTCTATGGTGTCTCATTTCCTACCAAAAGGTATGTTTCCGTAGAATATATATAAAAGGATTATTAAACTTTACAAATTATTTTTAATTTCCAATTTACAATCCAAGGGCTAAATAAATTTTGGTACATTAAGCATGTATACAAATGCATAATTAAACACTACAATAAATTCACAACTGCGGTCATTTTCCGAGGGTTTTTAAGTCCATGTTATTTAAAGCCGGGAAACTATTTTTTTTTTTTAACTACAGTCCAGCAGTATATAACTCTGAAAAAATTCACAGAAGTTGAGAGGAACTTTCAATATGATTTCAAGTTTACCCTATGTTCTAAAACTTAAAATACTTATTGCTTTTAAAATTGGGAATAATAAAAAGTTAAAATATTTTTCTGGTAGTATGAAATGTTTTATTTCTCATATTTATTAATTCATACAATTGTGTTGGACGTAATACAAATAAAAAAGCGTTTTCGGCTATAGAGGGATGGGACGGGAGCTGGAAACCTCAATGTAATTTCTTGTTTAAGCTGCAGGGTAACTCCAAGTAATGAAGTGTACCCAGGATAAGATAACTGCATTTATAGTTTCACATATCTTGTTTATGTGAATGATAAATAGATTCATTGCAGATTTCATGTTCCAACTTCCTCGTATTTTGACTACCGACGTTTCAGGTAGTTACATTATGTCGAATTTTAGAGTACCGACATTCAGCTACGAATACGTTTATATTCAAGACTAAACTTTCTGTATTTTTCATGGTCAACTGATCGAACATCGAAATGTCGTAACAACGGAACAAACAAAATTTAAAATGCGTTATGCAATTTGCAGCATTTTCACGATTTTAGAACAAGGGACAGTAAGATTTTAAAATTAACGGTAATTTGAATTTAGCTTTTCTTTTATACTATTTCCAATTTTGATTATAACTAACACACGAGTCTTATAAATAATATTTTTTTCATTTTGAGGTTTTGAGTACAGATCTTCAGCTCTCGCCTAACTATCCACTTTTCTTTTACAGTCTCGGAATGAGACTTAATGCAACACTTAATAGAAGATCCTCTTTTCTCTTCGGGCTGCAGGTATTTCGGAGCCAGTCTCCACCCACGAAGCAACGAGGGCGGATCGGATCTTCGTGTGAGGGCGCCGCGTGAGAGCGCCGCTGTCGTTTCCAAGAAGATCCAATTCCACCTTTGTCGCACTTCGGAGTGTGGCAGCCGTATTCCCTTCCGTCCAACGTGGATCCGAAATTAGAACCTGGTTCAGAGAAATATTAAATAGAAGCTTTTGTCCAAAACACTGCCTTCACTAGTTACAATTTAATATCAACTTTTTATCTTTGCACCGGGCTAAGGAATGAGAAAACTATTACCTTTATATTTTAGAGTACTTGCTTGTGTGTGCTGTACATTTACACATTAAAATTTCACTTTTGCAAAAACAAATCTTCAGTTTTGCGGTTCAATTTTCCCTAGATTCCGTAACTTTGATACTACTTATCACAATAAAAGAACATGACATTCGCAGGCTTTTGTACCTACTGCATTCCACTGAACTATGATCGCAAAGAAGCTATACTATTATAGCCTGTAGGCTAAACTACAGTTTTCGCCACACTTCATACCATGAAATAAATTTTGTTTAGTATTTTCACACATGCTCCCTTCATTCCAAGCAGTTTGGTGGAGATAAATGAAATGGTAATCAGTTACTGTATGTAGAATTAATTTTTCTGTAAAGAAATAAAGTTTGTTCCTGAAAGAAAAAAAATCTTATTAGCATTTTAAATTCAATCCTAATTTCGAATGATGCTTTGTGATGTTCCGCAATACTTCACACCCTTCTCCCAGGAGCCCCTACTGGAACCGGATGTCCATTTCATAAGTTCCTGCAAGAAACAGACTCAAATTGTGTAGAAAATTAGTCAACTTCTAAAATTCTAAACAGAACTTATCAGCCTTTTGTCTAAATACGAGACATAAAAATATAGGTTTCTCTTAGTACGTTCGTATAGCCTGTTGGCAGAAAAATGTTCATACTTTATAATCAGGCATTGAATATATTTCTACCATATTAATATTATAATAGTAAATTATTTAAAAATTGATATCTACACAGTAATTGTTATTAAAACTAATCGCGCGATTTTCTAGTTACGTTCGGCACGTTCCTAAATATATTGCACACTTAAAAACCTAACACCCTTTTAATAAGAGCAAGACATTTAAAATTAAATATAAAGTGATAAATAAAAGTAAAATAGTTTTGTTAAGCCAAACCCATGAGTTTAGAAAACAATAATTCATTACGGTTTTACTTATGAACATGCAAAAGAGTTCAAAACCAGTCTTAAGAGCGAGTATTTCATTCATTTTTGTAACGGAAACTGCCCTAACAAGATTTTGTCTACAATATCTGAACAAGTTAGATATTTAATATAACCTCATTGACAGAGGAAGATTCTTCATTTTGCGTTCTTTTCTCCATTGATTATTTTAGAATGAAGTCAATATTTACATTTTTAAATTCTTGCATCGGAATGTATTCCCTTTTGATTCGTTTATCTTCCGAGTTTAGATTGTTTCTTACGTTTCAGTCCACTGATCTCCGGAACGTTTCTTTCCTATAAGTTTTTGTTGACGTTACTAAAAAGTAATGTTCTCTTTTCGTTTCGAAATAATTTTATATTTTCTTCCTTATAATTTTACCAACCTAGTCTCAAATTCTTTATTCCTTGTCTTGTTATTTACCCTTGTTGATAATGGTACTAATTCACTTCCTCTAAAGTAAAATAAATTATTGAGTATTTGCGTATTATGAATATCTTGATACTTTGTTATTTTTTTAACGAAACTTACGGGTAGTCGAGTCCACAAATTTAAACAATAGTGGTGAAATGTTAAATTCCGTTGATATATTTTGTTAGCGTTCTTCTGAACAATTTAAAATCTTCCTAGTGCAATTAGTTTGAGACTTTCTTCATCTTTAATTCTTAATTATTAATTCTGTTTTCGCAATGAATTTATTGGAGATTTTTATGATGGTTCTGAACATTGACAAGCAATATCAAACAGTTTCTTGTTTGATTCTTATGGGAGATTTAAATATTGTTGCAGTCCTTGTTAAGATTGGGACAGGACGGCAGTATGATTACGGCCTAGTAATTTCATTACTAATGGAATATACATTAATACTATTTGTTTTGCATTGATGCATTTCACATTTTCACTGTAAATTTTACTTTCTCAGTAATTAATAACGGCCAATCCACATTGATATTTTGAGTTAAATTCGTAAATTGTATGAATCGTCCACTAAACATTAAGAAAGACGTCCAGGATAGCATAGGTCATTAAGGTTGAAGGGCTATAGCTACCTCGGCTCTAAGGGTTGCAGGTTCGAACCCCGCCTCGGGCATGGATGTTTGCATTCGTTTGTGTGGCCCTTGCGTGTTCTTACTAGAGCTCCCTCTATAGTTAAAGTAATCACAACGGTCACTATACTACCAAGTTGTTAAAATGTGACTTAAAAAACAAAAAACCTAGAAGTATTTCAATGCTTTAGAGATGGATGAATTTTATTTAATAAGAATTCGCTAACTATATTTTTGAAAGAAATTTAACATTTGTAATTTCCAAATTTACTACTTCATGAACGACTTCGTCTCTATGCTAATGATAGTTGACAAGGTTTACACCTTTTTCTCTTTGTAATACTTCATTTTTTTAACTAAAAAATTAAGAATTTAACTGATCAAGAAATTTTATCACTTCATAGAAAAATGTGTTAGCGCAGTTTAATCCTACTTTACTACACATTCATATAATTTTATGCAGGACTAATGTAGGATTATTCAGTCTGACGTCTAAGTTAAAAGAATATTATTTATTCCTTAAAATAAGTTCTCAAAATCATTAGGATGCTGCAATATTTTTCGTTAATTTTACTTTATATCAAAACAGTAGAAACTATGTGACGTACGAGGGGTGGGGAGCATAATCTCCGTACGTTTTCTTGAACTTAACGTCTTCCTCATCACATAACTTTACACAGTTTAATAATAATAATAATAATAATAATAATAATAATAATAATAATAATAATAATAATAATAATAAGTATCAAAATGTGAGGGCAGCATCGTTGAAAACATTTTCCATCCCGAGTTTTCAGAATTATGGATCTATCTGTAAACAAACTACATTTAATTACTAACAAAATAGCTACCCACGCATCCGCCTCGACTCCTATGACTAGTTAAAGGAGAGCTCGGCGATACCTGCGCATAGTGAAGCTATATTTATGTTGGCAAAAGAAGAAATGTCAGCATAATAAGCTGTATTGATGGACAGCAAAACAAAGGGTCATCACAGCATTCGGTCAATGAAACGAGGAAACCTGACGAAAATGTGATGCAGATGGAAGGTTTTAATCCAAAAGCTCAAGTACATTGTCAGCGCATATTCAATCTACACGAAAACTACACAGTAAAAGTGCTAAATAGTTCATTAAATATTGTTAAAATAAATACTTCTCTTCGAAGGTCAGTGTAGTTAATTGTATTGAAACCGTTCTGTAGCAGAAAACATTCACTTAACAAACTTTATCTTTCTGTTTAAATTGACGCCTGACAATGTGTTCGAAGCAAGGTAAAATATTGTAATACGATATACAGTACAATATGATGGAATGCATTGTTGTAAACTAATGGATTTGTAGGATTTTTCTTTTAATATGCAATGATCCTGATTTGGTTATTATGATTCCTACAAGACATTAATTAAAATCACCTGTATTCCAAGTAAATATGTTCCCAGCGACAGTTTTGGCATATCTACCGATTGACAAATTAAGTTGTTTCTTCAAAATTAAGATTAATATGATTAATACTTTTACAAATTAGTTGCAAATTTTATTTTCCCATTTAATTGCAAAACTAATATAAAAATTTGTCAATTTCAGCTTTCGAACAACTCTTCATTATTAGCTTACGCACAGAAGTTTTCAATCTCCTTTTGGATAAAGGCAACTCCAATTACTATACATTTCCATGGACTTTATTGATTAGCAATACGGAAGAAAATAGCATATCTAAGCATCAAGGATTTTAACCAAGATTTTTATTACAAATGTATTATTACAAAATTGTATCTAAATGTAATTTATTCCACGTTTTATGCTTTTATATATTTCCCAATTTAATTGCCGATTTATTCAGCAATTTTAATCAATTTCTAATAAAATAGAAATTGTCTCCTTCCCAACCGCAAATCACATTACAATTCCATTCATCTTGCACGATGAGGCTCTCCTACATCCACGTAAAGAAATCTGGTAGAGTAATAATGGTAACAGTTTTGCGATTAATTCTGCTTTTCTCAAATTTTAACGCAATGTAAAGCGCCATTTGCAATTTCACTTCTTTTTAAGATCGAGTAAAAGGTTTAAACTTCCTATGCACGTAAACCAAGTAAAGTAGTTGCGATTTTTTACTTATCCGTATTCGTTTTCACACAAGTGGTTTGGGAGGTCCTAATTCGTGGGGATACCCATAATGATAATTTTATCACGAAGTTGATGCAAACATCAAAAACAGTTTTTAAGTTCACTACCCTAAGTAACGTGTCCCTAAGTAAAAGAATTTTCAATGGTACAATTTCCTTCCCTTAAAAACACTGTACTGTCGGTTCTCACTAAACGCCAAATAATCTACCTAACTTTCACCCGCCCCTCCCTTCGATGTCCACTAAAATGATCAGAAAGAAACTTATTTTATTATACTTTTAAAGTTACATTTGAAATTAAAATTTAATGTCAACGATTCCAAAGTACGACTTAATAAAAGGTTGCATTTAATTTAAGCATGTAGCATTATTTCATTCGGCATTCTACAGAAACTATTTTAAGGGAGGAAAGAATTTCGCTTTTCAGAACCCAAACAGTTTTCTGAGTTCCTTCACCTTGACATTTCCTTGTCCACGACATGAAAGTATGTCTGCCCCATTAAGGCGATTGATATGGAAAGGAATTAAGATACTAGTATACCTCAAAATCACTTTTCCGTAAAATATTTGCATTTGTTTTTCATCGTTCCTTGTGCATTGAGATTTTGTTTGCAATGCTAAAAAACGTGTGTTAGTTTTTTATTTATTTAAACTTTTTTTGAATGCGCGTGCATGCACTACGTCCAATATTTGAAAGCATCAAACCAGGTAGAACGTGTTGCGAATTATGACTGACTTAAGGAAGCATCAAATAGCTGAAAAATAGACCCAACCGATAGTAAAAGCAGAAGGAAATACTAGAAAGGTCCGAGAAAGGTAATAGAAGACAAACTGAAGTTAAAGTTGATTTATCATTCTCTGACATTTTGGAGGGATGACCCTTAATTTCGCTCTTCTCCGCAGTTCCTTTATTTTCTTTGATCCAACTTTAAAAATAACTAATTTTGAAGATCTCACGATTCATTTTTTTTTATTTAATAAGAGGAAGTAGTTCCTAATACCTAAACCTGAAACTTATAAAATACATATGAGCAATAAAAAATTGTTCTGTTGTTTGACATTGTTACCAGTACTTTTTTGAAGTTCTAATTCAAATCTCTGTAAAGTACAAACAAGTCTCTTAATATTCATATTTAGGTTCAGACGAGAGGAATGAAAAGCAGTGTGATCCCTAACTTAATTTTAAGAATTTTTAACGGTTATGAGATTAGACATTTCAAATCATACCCTTTTTTGGTAGGAAAAGTGCATATGGGATGCAGTAATTAAAATATTTTTAAAATATTTGACATTGTTAATGCCTAATTTTAAGAGTAAATTTGTTTATATTCCGATATGACAAACAAAAATTTTAAAACTTTCGTAGACCAGAATCTTAAATTGGGATCGGTAGAAGCCTTTAAGTTGCTGTAGGCAACAGGTGGCTCCTGGTGGTAATGAAAGTATGCATTTGGGATAGATAGTGAATGGTAAGGTCAGTCGCCAGCCGCTCACCATTAGGTGGGAGGAACCCGAAAAACAGACTTTATGCATCGAGAAAGCCGAATTGGTTAAGGGATACTTCCATTTGCTGACTTCACCGATTGGAACCTGAAGGTGATTAAGGTCTACCCGATTTGAAGGAAGGATAGTTGTGAAAGTAGGATTTAGACTCCTTATAACGGGGAGGGGAGGTCCCTCTAAGACTTTCTCAGAACTGGTGGAATATAAAAATAAATCCGCTGAAGTATATAAAATTACATGAAGAGGCATAAAAGAAAATCCTTAATAATAGAATGTGGTATGCACGTTCTCACGCAAATATCAATGAAATAAAATATAATTCCGAGAAGAAGACAGTTTTGTATTAAGAAGAAAATTTAGATGAATTGAACACAAACTAATGCCCATTAAAAGATCCAAAATTACCCGGTTTCTTAGAAAGTAAGAATCATGAAGCACAAGCATAATCTTCAAACACCTCTCTGAAATATAAACGCGACCTTCACGCCATCTGAAGAATTAAGACCTATCAAATTGGAATCTGTTCTGAAGAACACATTTAAATAATATATTTCAACCTCTGCAAATTAAATAAGGATCTCCACTGTACTACTTACAAAATCCATGAAATAATAGCTTAGACAAAACCCACAATGGAAGGTTTGTCGTAAGAAAAGTAGACAAGAATTTGAACTTGCACTACCCATATCCAATTCAGCAACCTTTAACTGAAATCAATAGAAATTCATATATCTAAACCTTTGACAAAGTAAGCAGCAATCTTGTGAGATAAGAAACAGGGTTGCAATAGTACATCTAGAAATCTAATATGAACATTTAGATTTTCAAAATAAATGACGTTATTCACGAGTTCAACGAACTGCAGAATTTCACCGCTAACCTAGGGATTGTTCGCACAATTTAATAAAAAGTCAAGAATTATAAAATTCATGTTAATATTTTTGTTTAATCAAGTACGCTGCTGCTCGCAGGTGAGCAAGTCCAGTTCTAAACGTCAAGATTGATTTCAGATGGCATGCAAGTCCCGTGCAGGCACGTGGCAAACTTAAAAGTAAACTGATTATTTCTGGAGAAGAACTAAATCTAAAGATCCAAACCAAAAAATAAAGCTAAACAGCAAAGGAAATATTTCGTCGAGTTAAACGTATGTGGTACACCAATTAGAAAAATCCATAATTTTATTTGAATGGAACATTAGGAGTATTCGTTAGTTATAAAAACACGCGTTTACAATATACGAAGCAATTTCAATTCCATTTTTGAAAAGCAATTTTAGTGGAATGTGAAGTTTAATTAACGATTAGATGCGACAACTAGAAAGATAGTTTTTGTGGTATGCAGAATGGAAAAGGTCTTAATACGAAAATCATTCGCATTATGAAAAGTTTGCAACGAAGTGCCGTTCTTCAAATTTCGAATAAAAGAGCTAGCGAAATTAGAAGATTAAATTTTGACAAAATGTTTCCCATTAAGACTACTGATTTTAAAGTTTCCAGTTTCATTAGAAAATAGTACTATGCGGAGAATCTATTAGAAGTTATCCGAGTACCGAATAAAAAGAATGCAACGTTACTTTTTAATTCTATTCTGATCTACAAAGACGAAGTTGAGAAATCGTGGTCAAAGATTAAGCAGACAGAAGTCTATCAGAGCAACATGGCCAGCCGCATAGGTCGTTGCAACACTGACCCTGTAATAAAAATGTAAAGTGCATACCTTCCATTTTTTCCACTTCATTTCATTTTCAATAAATTAATCAATCCTGATTGAATTTACCATGCTTTCAGAATTGAAGTTATCAGTAAAGTATATTGCATTAAAAAAAAGTAGTATTTGGTTTTGCGAAGAGGTGAAATTCTCGTTCACTTGCTAAATTTTCTCCAAACAATGGTTTCATTATTGTCCATTACCAAAAATATTTTAGCATTTCACATATTTTTAAGTGAGAATAATTATTTCAACTTTGCTATCGAATCTGAATACATCAAATGCAAGTTTGTCTTTTAAGACCTTTTACGTTTTTACTCTCAGATTGTTGGACGAATACCTGAAACATAAGAAAGAGCGGCAGACATTGTTCACAAAATCGATACACCTACAGTTCTAAAAATGTAACTTAAGCATGTATTGACAAATTATTTGCCAGTGCAGGAGAAAGGAAATGACATTACGGTGTGAATTTAATCTTTACTTTATTGGAAATTTTTACATTACATTTCATTTATGCTAATGCTGAAAAAAGTTGGTATTAACCGAGTAAATATTTGTTAATTACCTGAGAAAAAATTCTGAAAGAAATTTTTAAGTCCTGAAAAACAAGCAGAATTAAAATTTTACAAAAACAAGAATTACGTAGTCTTGAAAAATAAGCAGAATTAAAATTGATTAAGTCCATAAGAATGGCATAAAGAACATTTGAATGATATGGTATATTTGTCAGGAAGCGCGATCTTTTATAAAAGAAAGTGATATTCCCTCAAACTACGTATTATGCCACGTACATACATGGGCTTTAATATTTATATTTGGTCACTCAAGTGACAAACGTTTTTGCCACGGCTCGCATGGACTTCAGTTCCTGTAAAAAAAATGTTAGTTTTTATTTGTAAAGGTTTCATTGACCAGCTAAAACTTTGCAGAAATGTCGATAACATTACCACCCTGTTCCAAGTGTGCTGTCCGCCAACTAAACATTTTTCCATCGAAGGATAACTGAACGATGGGCAGACCTTCAGTTTTCCTTCCGATAGAAAGGCGTATTCCAATTCTTCATTAAGTATTCCGATTTAACTTATTACAAGAAAACTTATACTACAAAGTTGCGAAGAACTTCAAGTAACTTATCGCGTGCAAACCAAATTGGAACACGTCCTAGCACTTAACCTACCCACCCTGCCCTGTGAGCCACGTGGGCGTGTCCCTCCTATATCGCCAGTTGAAACAGAATGACCTCCCTCTTGAACGGCGACCTACACTACTGTCCAGAGGAAGGTCATCTGCCATTAATTCGACACAGAATGCGAGGCACAATGGCATCTTGCAGGTCAAAAAGTTTCCCACCCAGTCAATGTTGCCCCAAATCTCTATGACGGAATGCATGCCAAGTGCAATAGGATCCAACACAGGAACAGATACCTAATATGGCAGAACAAACCGCCCTGATATTACTAGCTAACCGGGCCATACAGTCTTCTATTATTTGCCCATCCTAATCTATTAATAGTAACTGAATATATTTCAATCAATATTCTTTATATATTAGTCAATCGTTTATGTCAAAAAGTAAATATTTGTAAAAAATCAAGCTATATTATATTAAATATTAAATGAACGGATGAACAATGTAATTAAAAATGTAATATTTTTAAATTCAAATCTTAAATTTTAAATAATTATCAGCAACCTAATTAGCTAATCAACAATAACTTTACATTTAAATTTACTTCGATTCAATAACATCAATTTAAATCAATTTTAAGCAAAGAAGACTGCAGTAACCCAGCAATACATTAAACTAAAGGCGGACGAATACCCTCTTAATATTATCTGAGCGGAGGCAGACTGCAC